TTCTCACCACTAAAATTGTGGGCACGATTCCGTCGTAAATCGTACCTCTTGACGCGTTGGTTTCGACCAATGGCGAAACGAATCTACCCGACAGTCGGAGAAGTAGCGCGGCGCGAGAATGCGAGACTCGATAGTGTTAGATGGTGTAACCATGTGGTTTCCACGTGTATCGCGCTTTGTCGGCATATTCTCCGCTTTGAACTTGGCTGACAGGCCAAGTATGTTTGGCCAATTCATCTCCGAATTCGCCATTGCCAGGGTCGTAGGCCTAATGACATCTAGAGCACCATCCCGTATAGAAGTTCTTGTCTTTACCCCAGGTACGATCTCAAATTGGCGTCGAATTCTTCATTTTTTAAAAATATCTATTTTGCAAACGTCCTTCATTTTTTATATCCAAAATTGGTGATAATTGTATATTATGAACCCACGACTCTTCGACTTCAAATACAAATTCGAGAGTTAATTTACATGAATACAGTCGCAACTAAAATTTGAATTGGCTAGCGATTACGTATAAAAGTGACGCAATTTTCGTGTGGTGACGTTGTCGTAATACTAAACGTAAGAAATTGACGTACCATTGAGTCATTCTCTTCCCCGTCGAAAGCATTTAAGCGGCATTAAATGTAGGAGAAAAGCACCTGACTCTATAAATAAAATTTCTAGAAAAACAAACAAGAAGAAAAAACAAACATGGCCACTTGATCGATGTTGCTAATTCATACTTTGGGAGGAATTTTTTCGGTAGATAACTAACAAATCATTTTGGACGCTATCACTAGAGTCGATCCTTTGTCGGTGATGGCTGCTTCATTCACGAGACGGTTTCTTTGGCCTCGGAAAGCAATACATTGAATGGGGATAGTATTTCGTTTGAAGAGAAGTCTTTGTCAACTTCTAACGGAAGAGTCGTACAGTCAACCCTGGTTACACATTTGTCATGTTTAAGAAGTGGAAAGAGAATATAACGAGGTTTCTGTTTGCTCCTACGTTTCCGTTTCTGCAGGTTTTCACGTTTACCAAACTGGAGAAACGAATATTCGCTTAAAAAATCCCAGAACCCCTTTTGGAATTCATTAATAATCCCCGTAAAACTCGAAGCTAGTGAAGAAATTTCATTTAACAGGCATTCTGTGACTCCATACTGAAAACTCTTATTTGCCATTGTTAATTTTTATATTAATACTACAACAGAGAATTAATCTGGTTAAATGTGGTATAATGTTAATAATCCACAAATTAAACTCCTGCTAAAATGAGACTAAAGGTAGATTGCTTGGGGAATTCACGCAGTATCGAGGCCTAAAAGGATCGCCGTGTCGAGCGGGCTAAAACAAGCTGAAAGTACTTTGTAATTCATTTGTTATAATAACCTAACTTACTATGCCCGTGAGTATTAAAAAGGGCCTTTTTCACGTCGTGGATTTGGCCTTATCGATAATGGATGGCCGGCGCCGCGAGACTGACGTATCTGAGCCAAAACCGTCCGTCAGAATTTTTGGTTCTGTGCCAGATTCGAACCCGGATCCTCCAGAACAGCAAGCTATTACTGTATCCGCCATCAATCATGATTTATTTTAGAATTTTCAGAAAAGTAAAAATTATAAAACACCTCAGAATGCAACGCGATTATTTTGCAAAATAGCTGGCGCGTTGCCATCTCGTTATGATAGAAATTACTGAACTGTCGACATCCTCGGGTCTTAATAATCCTCACAGTCACAATTCCAACCGGTCCAAACCCTTTGCATAGATTACATTTAATTATGCATTTGAATTTCAGTCGAGAATCGTGGCCACCGAACAACAAATAGTTCTGGTTTTCTGCTCGACCACTGGGCGTGGTATTTTCCAGGTTTTCCTCGTGTTTAACACATAAGCAATGGGCAGTTTCCCATATAAAATTTTCCAAGGAGACACTCCTTTGGCAACTCACCTTGGCGTTTTCTTTATCCCATCAACAAAATCCAGTTGAGAATCTTTAGGCTCTCGACTATCGTTCCTAAAATTTAAAATGTCAGAACAGAGAATTTCGACTGAACTGAAATTAGGAACTAGGAGTGAGGACAATCTATATATATTTATTTATTTCCGAGCATACGTGGGCCTTTGCATTGTCATAACCTTGTTAATAGGTAAGATCCATATCAAAAATGACATTACCCCCGGATAATTGAAAGAAAAAAATATGGCTGAATTAAATCACCTTTCGATTTACCGTATTTTAGATAATGCGATTTTTATAGCTTCGTAGCAATGTCTCAAATTGCTTTTTGCAACACGAAATCTATGAGAGTAGGATGCACAGTCTAACTTTTCCAATTTTCTTGCAAAATTTGGATAAATATAGTATAAATCTAAAACACGGGACCGCAATGAATGCCAATACTTAAATTATCAATAAAATATATAATGTGATTAATATACANTTTTAACATTGGAAGCGAGATAAAATAAACCGATTTATCAATCAAAAATATTCATATGGTACTTTTATGTCTTTAAACAGTGTTCTGGGATCTCATTAAAGATGCGGAACAAATATCAGCAGACACTTCAATTTATTATTGAATAAATCTCTTATCTATGGGACGAAATTCTTTTGCGGGTGAACTACCATTACCTTGCAAATTATGTTCAGATATAAAACTCTTTTCCTACTTTAGATGTGTTCTAGAATCGTACTAATGGTACAACTATTAATGATACGTTTAGGGTAGGAAATCTCTGATCTAGGTTCGGAATTTCGGAGTTAACGAGCGTGGCTCTCGTCAATCTTTCCGTCCTGTGGACGCATCGAAGACATTTTTTTCCACGCTCATTATGGGTTCGGCCGGGCCCACAATGAGACCGGATGGACGGTTCGATATATTTAGGACAGACCGCCTGCAAAAGATTCCACGAATTCGATTCTGGGTTCCCCAGAGCATTACGCCGACACCTTCGCGCCTCTGACCCGAGCATGGTTTAAAACTTTTGATACGTGGTATATTCTGTTCGAACGACTCTCGAATTCTACGTAAGGTAAGTTGCGGTCTTTGTTCTGTTAGCACGAAGAGATTACAAAGAAAACATGGAACAATTCGGCAGCTTCTACTTCAAGAAATCTGAAATTTGCCATCCGCTAAAACCTGGAATTTTACAAGAAACTTGGTTTATCGCACCATCAAGAGGTATGAGAAAACTAATAGTATTGAAAACCGACTAAAATGTGTCGTCCGCGAGATAAAAGAATTCCAGGAATGCTTAAGCGTTTGAAGAGCCGAATAATAAATCCTCGCCGATGCCAAAAAAAAGCTGGCGTTGCTGATGAACTTCTCAAGACCCTTCGTCTAGCATTGAAAAGGACCGCGAGTTTAAGACTTTAAAAGTTAAGGCCTATCACACGTTGACACAGGCTCAAAAGAATAAAAGGCTGATTTACTCTTGCCGTCTTTTGCAGAGATGTGAAAAATATTCTTCTCATAGATAAAAAAAAACTTTCTGTGGAAATTTAACAAGAAAATTTGTAGATGAAATACCGTTGCAAATTATGTTCAGATATAAAACTCTTTTCCTACTTTAGATGTGTTCTAGAATCGTACTAATGGTACAACTATTAATGATACGTTTAGGGTAGGAAATCTCTGATCTAGGTTCGGAATTTCGGAGTTAACGAGCGTGGCTCTCGTCAATCTTTCCGTCCTGTGGACGCATCGAAGACATTTTTTTCCACGCTCATTATGGGTTCGGCCGGGCCCACAATGAGACCGGATGGACGGTTCGATATATTTAGGGCAGACCGCCTGCAAAAGATTCCACGAATTCGATTCTGGGTTCCCCAGAACATTACGCCGACACCTTCGCGCCCGACCCGAGCATGGTTTAAAACTTTTGATACGTGGTATATTCTGTTCGAACGACTCTCGAATTCTACGTAAGGTAAGTTGCGGTCTTTGTTCTGTTAGCACGAACAGATTACAAAGAAAACATGGAACAATTCGGCAGCTTCTACTTCAAGAAATCTGAAATTTGCCATCCGCTAAAACCTGGAATTTTACAAGAAACTTGGTTTATCGCACCATCAAGAGGTATGAGAAAACTAATAGTATTGAAAACCGACTAAAATGTGTCGTCCGCGAGATAAAAGAATTCCAGGAATGCTTAAGCGTTTGAAGAGCCGAATAATAAATCCTCGCCGATGCCAAAAAAAAGCTGGCGTTGCTGATGAACTTCTCAAGACCCTTCGTCTAGCATTGAAAAGGACCGCGAGTTTAAGACTTTAAAAGTTAAGGCCTATCACACGTTGACACAGGCTCAAAAGAATAAAAGGCTGATTTACTCTTGCCGTCTTTTGCAGAGATGTGAAAAATATTCTTTTCATAGATTAAAAAAAAACTTTCTGTGGAAATTTAACAAGAAAATTTGTAGATGAAATACCGTTGCAAATTATGTTCGGCCAAATCAGTGAAAGATAGTGAAGTCTCAAAGAGCTCACCATCCCTTAAGTCTTATGGTCCGAGCAGGGATTAGTTGGAAAGGAAAAGCAGAAGTCCGTTTTGTATCATTAGGGGTTAAATAGAGTGCCACGAACTTTAGAACAGATATTGTCCAAGCGGTGATAGAATCATTAAATAAGAACGTTGTTCAAAAAGAAACTTGGACTTTTCGGCCGAAAGTCTGCTCTAAATCCCATACAAGAGTGTCGAGGCATTGGAGGAATTCTGCCAGATGGGCTGCCTTTCCAATGAAAATCACCCGTACAACCATAGAAAAGTAGAAAGAAGGATGAAGGTTTATATCAAAGCGGGTGACGGACACTTTGAACATTAGAAATGCTTGTTATCTTTCTTATTATCTACTTGTTATATAAACAAAAAGTATTTGATATATTATTCATTAATAAACTCAAATTGCCGATTATTAATAACGAGTTAAAAATTAATAATAATTAAAAAACAAACTAAATTACATTTTTATACGGTATTAATATTTTTGTCCGTCAGAGGGCGAAAAGAAGCAATGACCGGTCGTTTATAATGGTCATTGCTAGATTTTTCCATGCGATATAAAAGGGGAAATGGCGCGCCGATTGTTCGAAGGTTGCAAACACGCGGCGGAATACGCAAAATATCGGCCACGGTCTCCGCCGGCCGTGGCCGAAAAAATTATTCAATACCTGAAAGAAAAGGTGAGTGCCACGTGACGACTTCCTCGTGCTGAGTTACTTTATAATTGTAAGACGATCGCTCGAGTACTTTCTTACGTATCAACTTATATACAAATTAGGGAAAGATGTGAACTCGGAATGAGGATTTTTCACCCCAGAGTTAGATCCCTCTCCTGTACGTGCAAACAGTCAATGTAGCTAGCTATACTTATACAGTAAGTGCCATCATTGGACGGATATTCGTCTCTAAAGGTCTGTTTTTACCGCCGATCGGTACTACTGCCTATTCTCCGCGCTCCGCCTCGGTCCGGGCCGTCCCGGACCCGTGCTTCGGTGCCCGCTAATGCTTGCGCCGACTCCCCTAAAACTATGTAAGGTTAAATATTCTGAAGACGGACGAGCGGGCTACTCGAAGCCAACGATGTAATTTGGTCCGTGTTGTGGCGCGAGCGTTCGCAAAAACGTTTGAATGCCGGCCCGAGCCGGAAGCGTGGAAGCGAGAAGAACTCTGTGCTTTTGTAGCAGACTGCGATAAAAAATATACTGTGATCCTATCCGGATCTAAATTGGGATTTCCCGCAGACCCGTAGGGTTGCCGGATGCCCTTTATTTTAGCTAAACTGTCCTCGTCGTTTGTTGAAACGAGAAAGGATGCAGTTTATCCTTTTTTTTTTTTCAATGAATCTGTTTTGTAACGATGGTGGATGCTTGCACTGACGTATGACCATCTTTTAATGATGGGCACTAACTGGGTAAAAACTAGTTAACTAGAATAAAAAGCAATGTACTTTAATTTAGCTACTACTGTGGCTAACTATATACTTGGTTTGTTTTTATAAAAGTAATCAAAACTACTAGTTAACAACATTTATGCTATCGGAAATAGACAATCAAAAATTTGACCGGATTAAAATAATAGTTATGTTTTTATTTTGTCCTTATTATTTAACATTTTTATTTCTTTTATGACCGACGTCTCGAGAATACAAATTTTTCGTCTGACGTTCTGCGTCGTGTAGTTAAAATTTGTCCCGACGAAGAAAACGGACGTTCCGTGGCAGCAATGTGGTGAATGTTGTAATCTAAAAATGCATTGTCGGTAGTGCGACGTGCTAAAACTAACAATATTGTTTTTTTAAATTTCTGATTTTACGTGAAAACTTCTGCCAGCCGTTTTAAGAAGTAGAGTAATAACTCAATGCAAGTACAAAACAAAATAAAAATATACTTATATAACAAACTATATATTTTTTTATACACGTGCGTAGCAAAATGTTGATACCCAATTGGTTGCTTTTATTTGAATTGACTTTTGTCAACTGGCAATATAAAAATTTCAAACACTACAACTACTTAAAACGAGTAAAACGGCTTAACCAAACTTGCTGACGTGAATTGCCAAAGCAACATTATACTGTAATTAATTAAAAGGAAAACTAGTTAGAGCAGTTGAAACTAAACATGCTAACTAGTAGCTAACTAGATTGTTTAATTATATTAGTAGTTAACTACTGGCTATATCTACTATCCTTATATATAATCTCCGTCCTTCTCCGTAGTATGATTGCCAATCTTCTGGACACTCCTGGAATTTGGCAAACATTTTAAATTTTCCAACTACTGAATTGAGGCCTTGTGTATTTATTTGATGAGATGGTTAACTATTGAGTAGGCTATATATTAAAGCAGACTAAAGAATAGGTGACAACATCTATGGTTTACCATTAAATATTTTAAATTCTAGATTAAACTAAAGCTTGCAAATATTTATAGTCGATACGAAAGCTATAATCTCCCAGAAATTTCGAGAAAAATTTAATTAACTATTTTGTTTGGCCGAAGACATTTGATTTTGATCGTTATATAAAACAAAACTAGTTTTCTCGATATATTATCCTTCCACGATATCTATCGTATAGTTGAATTCTTTTCGGTACTTCGTCATTTATAATGTTTTATAAATGTCGGTCTTCCATATTTCTTTTCCTTAATTTTAATTTCTTTAGTTTTAAACTTCTTTATATTATATTATTATATATTTTTTTTTATCGATATTTCTAATTATTTTAAATCTAATGATAGATTACAACTTTGAATCGTGCATTAGATATTGGATGTGGATCTGGTCAAAGCACAGCATTGTTTGCTTCACATTTTGAAAAAGTAACTGGTATCGATGTAAGCGAGGCACAGATTGAAGAAGCAATTAAAAACAATAAATTCACAAATGTAGAATACAAGTGAGTATGGAAATAGTTCTTTTATTAATTAAAGTAGTTTTATCTAAGATTTCAATAGTTGAAAGACTGGATTACATTTCTAAATCATTATATATGTGATAAGTATTATCAATTAACAAAATATCACAAAGCATTAGAATAAAGTAAAATTGCACCTGTACAAAAAAATCATTACTTAAAAAATATTATCAGACTTTCAAATTACATTTAAAACAGCTTTAAAACACATTTAAAACAGATTTAAATTACATTTAAAACAGATTAGCAAATATCTATTTTTATCAATACCATAATGCACAGTTCAAGTACATTTTTGACTGGACTTTCAAATTTTTGAATTTCAGAACAAGTTGCTCCCTTGTACTACAAAATTATAAAAATTGAGCTATTGTGTGGATACATTTCTTTTGCTAGTTTTGATGTTACCAAATTTATGATTTACATATTTATGAAAATTAACTTTTATCGTCTCTTTTCTGTTTAATCTACATTGTAATGCATAAAAGTTTTAACATAGTTGTTATAAAAATACTAAACATTTTTTATCTTAAGAGATTTTAATTTTTCTTTTTGGCTTGCTGGGAATAGAATTCCATGTATAACATGTATGAGGGTGTGTCAGAATAAATTCAGAGTGATTGTTTTTTCAATACTATAGCATTGATAAATTTTCCTATGTATATTACTATAAAAAATGGTTATTATGTATCTGTCAAAACAATTGCACAGAAATATACTTTTGCTCTGTTGCTAGTGGGCAACAGAGCAAAATTTTAGTCTATGACAAAATCTGCTGATTGCAAAGACAGAGTTTACATTAAACAACGACAAACAGCCAAACAGTTTAAAATGTATTGCGAAGATGATGATCATTTATTTCTGAATGTCATCTAAACAAACCTTGACCAAACATTGGCTATTACTTTCTTCACTGTTACTCTCCTCTTTTAGGAGTTTTACAACCACTCAAGTTGTTTGTCTGTGACATCAGAAAAATGGTGACTAGTGATGCATTGAGTGTGTCAGAATTTCTCCAAAGAAAAAAAAGTGTTGTTGCAAATTATAAAAAAAATATCTTCCAGTTGAGAAGGATTATGATAACAATACTCTGGCAGTGGAAAAACCGCATAAGTTTTAAAGTAAATTTTCTTTATCGTTTCCTTGTCGATAAGCTCATACCTTATAACAATTGAAAAGCAAGTATAATTGTAAAAAATACATTTGAGATTATAAGTTGTCACTAGTTAATAGAACCTTTTTACATTAACCACTTGGCCATCAGTCTGCTAATGATTTAAGGATACAAAACTATTATGCAAGGTGTGTCTACTAAAAGCTTTTGACAGAAATGAATCAATTTAGTATCAGTCTTCAAAATACATACCTCCAAGAGCTGTTAAAATTTTTGCACACACTGGTAATTTACATATGCCCTCACAAAAGGATCTTTTTGGAATGGTGTTTAGTTCACTCTGTAGAACTTCTTGGTTTTCTGAAATTGTCTCACTTCCAAACTAAATTTTAATTTCTGGATCAGAAGCCTCCAACAGTTCTAGCCATTTCCAAAAAACCACTTCCTGTTCCCAAATTAAAATTAATATTTTTGCATATTTAATTTAGATAATTTATTGCAATATTTTAGTTTTAAAGTTTAGCTTTATGAAGACATTTGTGTATTTTGTTCAAATAAATTTCATTGTGATTTAGTTTTTACTATCACTAGGCCTATGCACTTGATCATAATTATTTTTTAATGGTATTTCTGTAATGCAACATTTAAGTTTAGCTTTTTGGTATTTTGTTTATATAATACAAAAAAAATAAGGATAATATACTATTATTTTTATGATTTGATATATTGAAATAATACTTTTGGTTATAATATGTTTTTCTCTATTAAACTTTTAGAGAATCGCACCTAAATGCAAAATTTCCAGCAAAGAAATACCCAAATTCAATATTCAAACATTTTTGGCCACTACTTTATCAGCCCTCTTCAGGAAAACAAAAAAAAAAAAAAGTTCTATTTATAGAATTTAGCAGGGTTATAGTTTTTAGTTTCAAAAAAGTAAAGGCTGTGACATATTTTTTAGGAGTCTAAATAGTACTTCCTTGCATTTGGTACATCAATGGCATCTGCATTGATGCAGGCTCCACTTCTGTCTGCCCTCTACAACTTCCAATGCTCTAATGTTTTGTCAGTCGAAGACCCTGTGTATTAGGGTAGCTTTGTCCCCTACTACAGTACATGGATCTTATATACGTTAGTATTCTGTTGAACCTATAGTTCCGGCAGGATGTGGTAAACCCCTGGTGCTCTTGCGTCTTCAGTGTCCTGCTTTGCGTTAGAAGGCAGAAAATGTTGGATTTTCTTTTGTACATTACAAGTATGTTTAAATCTTTTGCAATCATCCTGTATACATGATGAAAGGATGGTTTGTACCTGATTAGCTTCTGTTTTGTAAACAATTGGTATTGGTGTTGGATGACACAGTCAGATGTGTGGATGCCAGAGTGTTGATAATTGAGTAGCTGTACCCATGGTTGGGTGCAACTTCTTTCAGATGCTCTAATTCCTTGTTGGTAACTGTTAGCCTCGTATATCATAGTAGGCTCTCGCTACCAGTGTGCAGAAAGTGGCTGCCTTATATGACCACAGGTTAGCTGAATTGCCCAGTACAAATAGGGGGACCTAAGCAGGTTTGTGGTAAATTGAGGTGTTGAACTTATCTGCTATTTGAATCTTGATATCTAAGAAATTAACATTAGTGTAGCTTTCTTGATCCAATTTTAGTGTTAATCCATAGTTGTTCTTATTAAACACCTTAAATATCTGGTCTATTTCTCCATATAATCAAAATGTCATCAAAATATCAGGTGTAAATAAGGATATTATGTTTGAAGTTTATTAAGGACTGCTCTTCCAATTGTAAAACAAGTTTACAGAGATCACGTGATGTACCAAATGCATGGGAGTACTATTTAGACTGTTAAAAAATATACGTCAGATACGATACGTCACAGCCTTTATTCAAACTTTTTTTAAACTTTTAAACTTAGAACATGCCTACATTCTATAAATAGAATGGTTCTATTTGTTTTACATTTCTCAAAGAGGGCCGATAAAGTAGTGGCCGAAAATGTTCAAATATTGAATTTGGGTGTTTCTTTGCTGGAAATTTTGCATTTAGGTGTGATTCTCTATGTGTACAGTTCCAGTTTTTTAGAAAAGTGGTTGTTTATTGATAAACTTTTAGTTTTATTACATAATATCAAAATAATTACAGGATAATTTTTAGTCAAATATGAGTATTTTCTGAAGTAGTTCGACTATTTATGCAAATTACAGTGTTTTTCTATATTTTACCCTCATATTTTCATTTATATAAAAGTATCTATTTCCATTTCTTCTTCAGTTGATTGGATATCTTAATGCATGTATCATTAGTGCTGTTTTCATCTGATTAATGGCACTTCTTTCTCATCTGGTTTCGTTAATTGATGAATTGTCACACGAGTTGTATTATTAATCTTTAGTGCAATCATAACATTTGTTATTTTGACCATGCTTTTTTCATTATTTTCTTGGATTTATCACAGTTTATAGTTTATAATTTTATAAATTCTGCAAACTGTGATAAAAATCATAACAAAACTGTAGTAAAATAAAATTACATTAAAGACAACTTTTATGTTTAGAAGTTATGATAAATTAATAATAATATTGAAAAGTGAATTTTTGTCAGCTGAAGTATCATTTAATGAGAAAAGGTCATGATGCTGTGTTAAAAACTGTTAAAAATACGTTGCAATTGTAAAGTCGCTCTGCAACAGTTGGGAAAACAGGAGGAGATTCCACAAATGAAGTAATGACATAGTGGGCAGACGGCCTGTCAAAGAATTATGATGTCACCACTCGGTCGAGTTGCACGGGCATGGCCTGCTGCAGAGTGACTTTATGATTGCACTTTATAAGGAACACTCATGAAGTCATTTCATTCCAAGACCTTTTGAAGAGTGAACTCTATTTTTATTCTCAACTTTAACAATGATTAAAAAGTAACCAAATTTCCTACTCAGAGTTAAACCAGCTTTTGAATGTTGTTTGAAATATGCTTAATTTAAAGATTACATTGTGCTGGCACAATGTTATATTTAAATTAAAAACAGTTGTGTAAGATGTGATGCTAACATGTGTCAGTCTCTAAAAGTGTTTCATCTCAACATCAAACATGTAATAAATATTGACTCTTTCATATCCATAGTATCTTGAAAAGTCTTCCGTAAGAACGTTTTAAACGAAATCTGAATTATAATTATAATATTGGATTTAATTACTTAAAAGTTTCTCCCAATAATTTAGGGTTTTAATGTCCTTGAGAGTTTTACTGATTTTTGGAATGAGATGATTAATTTTATATAATCTGAATTATAATTAATACAATTATATTATGTTGGCTTTTTCCATTTTAAATAGGTATTAATACTATTATATATTGTTTGTCTAATAAATAAAAACTTAAAATAAAGTAAAATTAACAAATGTTATATAACTACATAAATGAGCTTAAAAATTAGAGGAAGAGCTTTGGATTTAATTCATTATTATTGGAAAGATTATTTAGGACCTCACAATTTTCAGAGTTTCCTCTGCCGAAGACACAAAGCTCAAGAATGAAAGCATTCAGCTCATCACAGCCAGCCAGAGCGTCCACTGGTTCAACATAGATAAATTTTATAATGAAGTCAACAGGTTACTTGTACCAAATGGAGTTTTGGCCATGTATGGATATTCTGTCATGATGCCTCATCCTTTGGATGTGAATGTAAGAGAAAAAGCTGTAGACGTAGTGAATAAGGTATGTTACTGGTTTCAGAAAGTTATTTCTGATTTAACATGTTTATAAATTACAATTATTGTAAATTCTCCATTATTTATTTAATTTGATATATGGAAATATTAAGGTAAAGTGGGTAAGTGTACAGTACCTATCCATGAGGGAACTGCACTTTTCTGTAATATCTTATTAGCCAATCAAAATTAAGCTGCCAGTACATTGATGTGTAGCTCAAAGTACAGATTTTGATAGTATTCAAGCTGGTTTCAATGTGGCTGCTTCTCTGGTTGCAACAGTGGTTTGTAAGGTCTGGATAAGTTTGATCTTTTCGTCTGACAGGGTGCAAGCATAGTAATTTAAATATTTAAAATTCAGTATTTGTGATTTTAAGATACAATAATTAAATGAATATTGTAGAATGATAGGTGCAAATACTCTTTGTAAAGTGTTTCATCTATGTGCTCTGTTATGACAAGCCAGGGTGCATATACCCTATGAAATTTTGATCATTGGTGTATGTTCAATCATGTCAATGGTATAAATACACCATTCTTTCGGGATTCTACACACACATGCCTCAAGATGAGTCTGTATGTATAATATGTAGGTGTCTTTGTATTCTGCATTAAAGGCATGCGGCCAGAGCAATCAAGGTAGGTAATGAATGCTCTAAAATACCATCAAAAGTAGTTTGTTATTGAGTTTTCTTAGCAGAAATGCACTTCTCTTCAATTTATATGTTAATGTACACACATTTTGTATCTGTGCCTGGTGCTAGGCTAAAAGTTTTGATTTTCACAACCCCTTCAATGAGGATAGGACTGGGTACTGCCTTGATCTGCTGTAAAGTTGATAAGTTGATACACACAATCCTTTAAATGCTGTTGGAAATAAAGTGAGAGAAAGGCAGTGCTCATTCCTGTATCAGTCAGTAGGTGGATGAAGCATGTATCACAGGCAGTGTTGCCTCAGGTAAATTTGTATAATAAAACTTGACAGAAAACATACTAAATTTACAGAAAATGTACTGAAAAGAAGGAAATTTAAATTGTAAAAACAACTTTATATCTCTTAACATTGTTTAAAAAGTAAAAAGTGATATAGATAAATGAAAGCATTTGTCAATGTCATGTAAAACATTAAATTTAGAATAAAATGTACATTTTTTTATTTTTATTTACCTGTTTAATAAGTAACAAAATATAATGTAAAAACCTGCATTACAGGCCTCAGAACAGATCCCTACTCTCATATTTCTGAATATTTTTAAATTAGTCACTTTTTCTCAACTATTCCAGCAATACATCACTATTTCTCACTTTTTCTACCACCAAGCTGTCACATGTTACTTCATTAATTAATGTTTAATTAAATACTTAAAATTGTGACACCCATAATGTCTTGTTGTAGGTTGAAAACTTCATTTTATTACATGACTTTTGAGGTCTTAAAAATGTTAATTACACAACATTATAAATTTGAGAGCGCACAGTCTAACATCAACAAAAACTTTTTTCAAAGTACAGTTTACAAGCCCCTTACAAGTAACCTTCACATCTTCAATTTGAGGGCTTTACTCTTTATTAGCATTTATAATTTTATATAAAACTTGTCTCTACCCTCAAAATTAAACTATTTGTAGTTTTGTAATTATTAATACTATAAAAGTTGTTTTTTTAACAAAATCTTGTAAAGGATGGTGCTGCGAACTAATTTTAAATTTCTTCTATTATGTCGTCATGTTTTCACTGAGAAGTTATGCATTTCGTTTCTGGATTTTTATTTAATGAAATCTCTTGTTTTAAATTTTAATAATTTTGTGATTCTGAAAACTTCTTTCTAATTAATAATTTTAACCAATTAAAAATTTTAATTTGCAAAATTTAAGTAGATAAAAAAACGTACTCTATGAACTGATGACTGGAGTGCAACAAAAAAACAAAAGAGAAAGTTCAGCACTAATGTCTTCGAATTCACCTGATAAGTAGATAACTGATTAGAAAGAATGGTAAATATACAGGTAATTTTTCTCTCAATTTTTTTTAAGAGAGACACACCATATATCTTCTAAATAGACTCTTCCTATGCTTAATTATCAAACTGGCTGACCATCCCAGCACTTATTAGCCTACTGTTCTGTTCTACAAAAAATAAAGAAACCAAGTAAAGAACAGATCAAAATATACAGATAAAGCAAAGAGAAGAAAACCAAAACAAAATAAAAACATATGAAAATGAACTTATCGGACCAGAATTCACAATTGCGACAATGTTTATTCAGAAATGAGAAAGTAATTTCTGGTGCAAATGCGAGAACTGTGCACAAATGTCTAAACCCTGTGCAAGCATTAGTTCTAAATTATGCCACTGTGGCAAACGGCGCCAATAGCCAAAAGCTCGATTTGTGGTATTTTATGGTCATAATTACAAATTACGATTGCTTTATTTGTTATTACTATTAGTTAATAATGAAAATAAGTTATTGCTTGTACATAATTTGTCTACAAGGACTTTATTTAAACATATCAGAAAAAAACAGTCTTTATTTTACCCCTGAACACATGTTACACGATATCATTGTTTTTCAGACTGTCAGTCCGTCATCACCAGGTTTATGACCAACAATTTAGATTTTTGTTTTTTAAATACATCAACATTCAAAAGCATTAATAGCACAAAACCAATCATACCTATCATCGTTCTATCAGACAAAGTGAAAAATAAAAACTGGTTTTTTTTCTGATATGTTTTCTTGAATTGCAGAATCAAATCACCAGTATAATAAATCCTAGTAATAAAATAAAAGTTCTTGTAGACAAATTACATACTAAACATAAGATAAGGACACAAAGGCATATAATTTAATAAGTTATTGCCCTTTAAACAAAAAAAAAAAAAAACCATTCTCAAACTAAATTATAACGTCAAATGAAACAAAACCCATAAATATAAAATAACATTTGGACTCGCCTCCTTACAAATAATATATATTATTATGGTTGACTAATTTTATTTCAGTAACCATTTAGTCACTTTTTCCTTGCTGGGAGTTACTATTCTGACTTATTTTGAAGTAATTTTCTGTTTCGAGGCTTTGTTTGTAAAATTGTTTTGTTTTAGAGCTGATAAAAATGGAGTTTCTTTACTTCTTGAGGCATTTTCTGCCCTTGTGAATCAGTTTTTCTTGGCCATCCAGAGTTTGGAAAATTTGTCAGTTTCATGGGTTTTGAACTTTTTCACAATACTTCTAATAATGTCTGTGCAAACACTGGTTAACTGGTGGATATTTTTATAATGTAATGTAGTTTTGTTAAGTTGAATAATTTTGTTTTTGTTGTTTGCAATAGTCCTTTTCCATTCATCTGCATAAATTAAATTTTGATTGATTCAAAATTTTAAAGCTCTACCTCCATTTCTACTTACCGTAGTATACTTTTGTAAGATATTAGTAAATTTCTTTTCTTGTGCAGTATTTAAATAATTTTTTATAAGGTGTTATTCTTTCTTTGATGTAGTAGTCCTATATCTTCAAATTAAAATTAATCCATTCTTAATTTAAGGGGGTTAGAAAATTTAGTTTATTTATTGATTACTTTAGATTTCTGCTTTATCTTTTTGCCTTTATTATGTAAATTAGTTGATTTGTGTAAATTTTATTTAGGACTTTTCACTCAGCATTGTAAGAGTGGGAAACATTTTTTGACATACTGTATGAGAGTATGTTCTTATATGTGCAGAAATACAGTATGATTATCTGACGACAGAATTCTTGCATAAAACAAGACTGTCATACTGTATGTAAATTTAAAAAATCAAAATGCTAACAAAAAGTAAATTTTTTCTATTATAAATTACATGAAATAGCATTTATTTTTTATTTTGTTTTTTCAGTGTGTCAGGTATATTTCACTCTTTAATCTTATTTGTAAATCTTAAATGTCATTGTTATCTGACTTGCTGTAAAATATTATTGTGTAAGAATTGAATAGTGTATTTCATCATGCATTCTATCTTTGTTTTTTACTAATCTTATAATATAATCGAGATGGATTGATAATGATAATAATAATAAGCGCAAAGCCCAAATGGTTAGGAGTTTAAAGTTGAAATTTGGTACACAGTTAGGGTATGTCATGAGAACGTACACTAAGAAGGGATTTTTTGAAATTCTCCCCCACAAGGGAGAGGGACAAGATTAAGGCTTATTGTGAAGAACTCGGCTTCTACTGTACTATTTTAGATGTGGCTTTTTGCATTTTTCATTGTGTTTTAATAGGGTTTGCCACGAGAATGCACATTAAGAAGGGATTTTTCGAAATTCCCACTATGAGGGAGAGGGTTAAGGATTACCCTGAAGAACTCGGCTTCTACTGTACTATTTTAGATATCTTTTTTGCATTTATGCGAGAAATTGAACATATTTTTAGACCCTTCTAAAAATTCTCAACAATATTTAGTGTTCCATTGTATATAAAGTTGACACGGGGAGTGCATGCACATAAGTTCACTTTATTCAAACTCTTTGTCTTAATATTCGATTTTATATTTATGAATGATTCTGGAAGATCCAGCTTATTTTTTTGAATTCAGTAAACCTGAAGAAGAACCCAGAAAGAGTTACGAAAACATTTATTATTCATCACTTAGTGGTACTATGCACTGGTTAGTGGTTGCAGTGAGTCTTAATTATTGTTATTCTAGTGTGGTAAGCAGATAGCTAAAAATTTTCTAATTAGTCTTGGAAGAGGGGGAACCTAATTCTTGCACTCGGTGAAAATGGGTAAGATCGGCTATAATCTAATAATCTTAATCTTTGCTATCGTTACTTTTTGTCCATGCAATGCTGGGCTCATCTAGTAGAATTACATTTTAAAAGTTTTCATTTTTTTAAATGTAAATGTTAATTATTTTTTTTAAATATTATTGACAACACATTGATAGTCAGTTTTTCATAACACTTTAGATCATTTTAAATTTCTCTGGATTGGATATCAAATTGATCTTTATGAAAATATTTGTTAATTTTGATATGTAATGATAATTATTAATTAACACAATACTCTGTTCAAATATGTCATTTAATGAAGATTAAGACCTTAATTATATTGATTATTTAAAAAATCAAAGTACGGTTTTTGTAATGTGAAATTATTGTATAGTATGGCACCATTTGTGTGTACTGTGCTGTACATCTGTACATTTAAGAAGGCTCGATATTAGTTTGAACAGTTCTCCGCTTGAATACTTTTTTGCATCATAAATATTTCCATTATGTTTTAGGTAACAATTATTCTGAATGATCATATCATATAAGAAAATATTCCATGCACTTTGTTTTGAGTTTATTAGATGCCATATGGATACTTGCATCACAGTGTTTTTTTCCCAATGATATAAGCAGTGTATTTTTCATTTACTGGAAGAAAACTTTGTTTAGTCATTATATTATTAGGAACAAAATAATATAAGCTAACAAATGGCAGAAGATACCTGACTAACTTTTTAAAATATCACATTCTAATGTTTTAGTTATGAACATATAAAATTAATATGAGTTAGTATAGGTATAAGACTATTGCAATTTTATGTCTAGATTATGCTAATTATGATTGATGTTTGCAAAAATGAAAAAAAATTTGACTGCTACATTTGCATAACGTTAATATTACATATGTTTTGACTACTTTTGAATTAGTAATTTTCGTGAATAAATTTAAATTTTTAGTAATTTAAACCACTAGGTTTATGTATTAAACTATTCATAAAATATTTTTAAGCAATGTTGTTGTATTTTTCATAAAATGTAATCTTGAAATCTAAGGTTCTTGGCCAGCACTCTTATTATAGAATTCTGCAATTAAAGATTAGGAGAACACAAGTTTTTTATAAATAATGAAAAGGAAGAGAATAAACTCAATTTAGATTTTTGTCAAATTTTCGTAACTTATTGTAGTGATGGTAGTTTTCAAGAAAGGAATTAAATTCGAATAACCCAATTAAAAAGTCTGGAGTGTTTAAAAACAACTTTAAATAATTAGAATTTCACAAAGTTTGTTGGTTGTTGTAACATGATATATCATTCGTATTTTTATTACAGAGAATGATGAAATTAATGTAACTAAAGATGAAAATTTCTGCCAGATTAAAAGGTACAAATATTAAATAGACATGAAAGTTAAAGATCAAACTTGTGTTACTTGCAACAACAAACAGATCAAAGCTTTGAAACAAAGATAAAAATATTAAAAAGCAGAAGTAAAAACAGATGAAAACAAACAAAAGTAATTTCTATTCCTTTCCAGCATTAATTAATACTCTAGGCCAGTAGTTCTCAAACTTGTAAAAAAATTGCATTTCTGGTGCATTTCGTATACAATAATAACCGTAACCCTGTGGGCCTTAGACTACATAGTAATTGATCGTGGATGTAATAAATCTTTATTCAAATAAGTTTATTCTCATTTTTAAAATATACTTTCATAATATTTATGGCATCAATGTGTCACAATACACTGTTTGAAAATCACTTCTGATATATGTGATACCAGTTTATTTTGTAACTTGTCCAAAAACTAGCCCAGGTTGGTATTCTTTAGTCTATTAAGGCTCATGTAACAGAATGCACAACACACAAATGTTTGTTTCTTTATTAAAACTCTTATGTATTTACTTCAGTTACTTTATCAGTTAAGCATGAAATTTGAATAACAATATAAAGTATTATCATGATTTTTAAAATGTGCAAATGGTATAGTTTATTGGTGGAATTTTTAATGGAGATTGCCTTTAATTTAAAATATCTGTGTTTTGTCCAAACTGGCTGAGAATGAGATTTATTCAAAATTATTTCTTTATGGATATTATAATTGTATCAGACCAAAGTTTTGTTTGAAGAAGATGTCATTTCTGTTTGTTAATAAGCTCCATAAACTTTTTACAGTTTTATGCAGAAGATATTGGAAAATATTGGTCGCCTGAGAGAAAACACATTGATAATAATTATAAAGACATTACATTTCCGTATCGTGATTATATCAGGTTTGAGTCTAAATGTATTTATTAATCTTCAAAGTTTTTAATTGTTGAATTTTATTTTAAATGTGTTAAATTGTATTATTCTTTAGGACTACTGTCACTCATCAAAGTGATTTGCCACTTCTAAATTATTTGGGGTATTTTACCACATGGAGTAGTTATCAAGAATTATTGAAGGAAGATGCAAAGAAAGCAGAATTTGTAATGACTAGATTTCAAAATAGGTAATTGAAATATTACAATTAAATTTTTAAATATAAAAATGTCTGTATTGGAGCACAGTTTACAAAAGTATATACTTGTTATGTCAGTGTCAAAGAGAATAAGAGTAATGCCATTAACAGAAGGTATAGACAAAAGATTAGGTAAGACAGCAGGGGTTCGATTACTGGAAAGCCTAAGACAAACAGAATGGAAAAATGGCAGAACTGGCCTTGGATTTCTAGAAAAATTATCCTACTCTTAAGTCTAGAAATGCAAAATTTCTGCCAGCTTTGCAGGAATGAATAGAAAGGAGATTATAAGATAAAGCTACAGTTGTTATTATTTAATTTACATATTTAGCTTTTCATATAGGAACAAAAATAGAAACACTTCAAAGTAAATGTTATTTAACAAAAACAATGCGTTCTCAGTTAAGAGTACAGATTGATTTTGAATTATTTTTGAGGTGTCTGTATATAAATAATAAACAACTCAAAGCATAAACAACCCGATGCATATACAGAAATAAACAACAATCCCCTTAAATATCAGGCTATAATCTGGCTAATTAAATGATTGATACAAAGTAATTTGTCACTAGAGGTAGACGTTAAACGCCATCTCTTAACTAAATTAATAATTATAATTTAAATAAGTAGTTAAATAAATTCAGAACCTTCTAATTATACTTATTAGTTTAGTTAAGAGATAGCGCCTAATGTCTACCTCTAGTGACAAATTACTTTGTATAAATAATTCAATTAGCCAGATTATAGCCAGATATTTAAGGCAATTGTTGGTTATTTCTGAGGTGTCTGTATTCTGTAAAGGGGGATACATACATGGCGTGGCAGAACGATGTCACTTTTTCACCACAGAAGTTGATTTTGTGCCGCTTTTCTTGTACCGTGAAAGTTGGTCGAATTCGTATCTTTTGTGGCAGCAGCTGCCAAGTCACATTTCTATCACCCAATAACAGATTGTTTCAAGGTCAACATAGAATCTCTTGTTTTAATGGTGGAAAGCTCAACATGGTTAACTGAGACAACTGACATTAGAATAAAAGGAAAAGATAATAAATTTAACTCAGATTCTACACAAATAATAATATATAATTTAATTTAAAGGACAAAACAAACAGATCATACTCAAAATAGTATTCTTTATCAAGAGATCTTAATCGAGGAATAAGTATATTTTGCACACCAGTTCTTTCTCGATCCAAGACAATATCTCTAATCCAAACCTTCGTTTGAATCTTCAACAAAATCTTCTAGTTAAATAAAGTGAACCATACAAAACAAAATTTGTAAATGTGGATAATGGCAGTGTTGTCATCATTTGCCATCTTGAATATTATATGCATGCACTGGAACCTAAGCATATTACTGCTTATGTGGTCACATTGCCATGAGGTAATGATGCATTTTCAACATGGCTTTTCGTTGCCATGCCACAAGTGTGCTTCACCCTAATTTTCCAGCTATAAAAAAACAAACTGAAAAACTGCTTACAGAATATGAAAGTGTAACTCAGAAAGTCTTATTATGTATATAATCAATACTGCAGAATGCTAAACAACTTCAATGTGTGAACCTTTTGTGACATGCACAATTTCCAAATGATGATCAATTTCCCTCCAACATTTATTGCAGTGTAACTATATTGCAGTAGCAGTTGAAAGAAGACTTTTTGGAAGAATAGTCCTTTTTTTTTAATTCTTTCCGCCCTGTGGGCACTAAGAGGATCTCTTTTTTTGCAAGTTATGGGTTTGGCCAGGCCCACAATGGGGCTGCCAGATGGTGAGGGACAAGACCCAACATATCCGAATGGACCACCCCCGAAAAATTCCTGGGGATTTTTTGGCCCATTCGAATTCGAACCTGGGTCCCCCAGAGCGGTAGGCTACCACCTTGACCGCTTAGCCATCCGGCCACTGGAAAAATAGCTTATCCCACATGAAAGAAGTTTCCAAGAAAAAGGAGGATTTGTTTCAATACACCAGCTTTTTATACGCAATGTTTTATTAATGTGTATTTACAAATTATGGGGCATGCAACAAAACTGTAAAAGTTTTTTAAAAGACAGATCGATACTAATTACTTATTTCTTGTAGTTTTGAGAGATATGCCATTTTTCCATTATTCCCCTCAATTCTGAACTTCATTTCCTTTGGCAAAGTCATGGGTCTTGTAAACAATGTCCTTTGTATATCTATACAGGAAGAAATCAAGTGGTGTAATGCCAGTGGTGCATTATTCTATGGGCAAAAGGGGCAATCGTCTTGGGCCCCTAAACCAATCTTTAAAAAAAATAATATTTCCCCAATAAATTCTCCCAAAGAAAAATGTCTGAAGTTAACAATATACATGGGGGTCCCTAATTCAAATTTGCCTGAACTCCATAAAGCTTGTAACATGCCACTGGGTAATATAGGGATGTAGTCATGAATTAAAAAGTGCCAGAATGCTAACTGACACCTCAAGTTTGAATTATTACTGTCTATGGAGCTGCAAGAAATAATTTTCTGTTTTTCAGCCAAGTTAATAGTCTAAAGTACAAAGTTTCAAAATAAATGATATACCATCATTTTACAGATCATTACAATTAATAACAGTGCAAATAATTATACAACAGAGAATAGTGTTAACAATAAACTAAATTATGTAATACTGGACAATTTTGGAAAAACATTAAGAAAGTACAATTACGAAAGATAAAAACAATTCAGAATATTAGAATAACAGAAAATTAAGTTAACAAGACAATCTGAATATTAATATAGAAAACATGACAAAACAATAAATTGAGGTACATAATTCCAAACTGTGTCTTAGCCACTTTATAAAATATTTGTATTGACTGTGCTATCCAATTACTAGCATAAAGAACTATCATAATAATAAAATGTTTTTATTGTTTAAAAAATAGGAGCTTATGGCATTTTTTACGTTGATTTATAAAATAATCAAGTTTTGCATTGTCAAGTTTAAAGCTTTAAGAGACTGTTGAATACTGAAAACTAAGTGAAAGTGGATAAGACCCACCTTGGAATGAAGTGCCTCTATTNTAGATTTTACAAATATGTGAGCCGTTCACAGCCCGGCACACGTATTTGTAAAATCTAAGTGACTCGTACAACATGTAATTCAGATAAAACGGAAAAATCAATGATCTTATAGGGGGATTGACTGTACTGGACAATTTTGGAAAAACATTAAGAAAGTACAATTACAAAAGATAAAAACAATTGGGAATATTAGAATTACAGAAAATTATGTTAACAAGACAATCTGAATATTAATATAGAAAACATGACAAAACAATAAATCAAGGTGCATAATTCCAAACTGTGTCTTAGCCACTTTATAAAATATTTGTATCAACTGTGCTATCCAATTACTAGCGTAAAGAACTATCATAGTAAAATGTTTTTATTGTTTAAAAACAGGAGCTTATGGCATTTTTTACATTGATTTATAAAATAATCAAGTTTTGTTTTGCATTGTCAAGTTTAAAGCTTTAAGAGACTGTTGAATACTGAAAACTAAGTGAAAGTGGATAAGACCCACCTTGGAATGAAGTGCCTCTATTGTTTTGCCATGTTTTCTATATTAATATTTGGACTGTCTTGTTAACATAATTTTCTGTTATGCTACTATTCCCAATTGTTTTTATCTTTTGTAATCGTAATTTCTTAACACTTCTCCAAAATTGTCCAGTATTACATAATTTGGTTTATTGTTGGCATTGTTCTCTGCTGTGTAATTATTTGTATTGTTATTAATTGTAATAATTTGTAAAAGGTTGATATATCATTGATTTTGCTACTTTGATTCTGTAAATGACTTAAGTTACAATTGTACGGATGGATAATTTTAGTGCCATTCTGTTGGGTCACATAGCATCTGACTTTTGTTAAGTCCACTCCACCAGAATGTTAATTAATTTTATTGTGCATTCTCAAAAAGATGATCTCCAAAATATTTGGGCTGGTATTTTTAGAAACTATGTTCCAATACAACATTTTTTTATAGTTATGTTTTATTTTCGAGTTAAAAATAAATATTTTCCTACAAAGAACATTTCAAAATAAATAAAATATTATGTGTAAAAGCTATAGTTAATTATTTATAGAAATCATAGCATCTTCATTTATATAATATAATATTTAGATCATTTATATTTAATTAAAAAAAAACTCTTTTTATCCTCATCTACTTCAGACTTTGTTTATTAAAACGACTTATTACACTGGCGTAGTTTTTGTATAGCAAACAGAGGAGAACTTAGAAAAATCAAAACAAAATATTTTTTTCACTTGATTGCTATACAGAAAGGAAACTACAACAGTGTAATAAGTCATATTAATAAACAAAGTCTGAAATAGGCAAGAATAAAAACAGAAATAAAAGTAAAGACATAGAGGCAAAAAGAGTTAATAAAAAAAAAGTTTTTATGCATATTTAAATAAATTATATAATTGGCTCTATACAATTCTTATTCAATATTAAAAAAAAATTACTGAAGAAAGCAGCTTATGGCATTTTT